CCCAGCCCTGTTCCCCTGTGAACTCCCTTTTCCCCTCTGACCCTGTTGTGGCCACCCAAGCCTCTCTCTCTGCCATGGGGTTGCTGCACCCACCTGAATTCCGGCATCCCTGCAGGGGCCACTTTTGACTCAGCTTGAGTAAATGGAGTTCTGCAGGGTCAAATCCAGACCTTGAGCTCCTTCCCATGCCTGTCCACAAGGCCTCCCACCCTTGTGTCTCACTGGCAAGGAGATTGCCACCCACAGCACGAGCAGGACCCAAGCTGGATGTAGGACAAGGAGTAAGGGGTTTTCCCTGGCCCTTTTCAGCTCCACTAAATCAGAATAGCTACAAGTTCCCACCAAATATCAGCTTCTCTCCCCTCTCCTCACTGTTGGCAGGGAGCTGTAAAAGCTAGGGCAGGTGATTTCATCCATCAGGCAGCACCTGGCAGATCCCTGCTCTGCTCCATTATGCTCTGCGGCAGGGCTGGGACAGAAGCCAGTGTTTTGTTCCTCATCCTTGGACAATGTTCCCACACTGCTGTCCAATGCTTTCCTTCCAGAGGAAGGCAACGTACGTCCCACTCATTAATGATAAGGAAGTGTGATGGAATTGAAGTGCAAGCCCCTTTGCAAGGAGGGAAATTCCTGCACATTTGGGGATAGTCTCAGTGTCTGCAGATTCACCCATAAACCAAATGCCATGTGGTGCTTTCCTGTCAGTTAACCTCTGTAAAAGGTGACTCCTGGAGGGTAGTCCAGTGCAGTGACTTCTCCACCTTTGGTCCATCTGGGAGAACCTACCCGGTTCTCTGGGTCAATTCTGAATCTGATTTACAGCATCCCACGATAGCCCTGGAGACTGTAGAGAATCAAGTATTTAGGTCTCATGGGCAGTGTATATCATAGGGACATATATTAATGTTTTCCAGCACTTATTAAGGCCTGGGGATCTTCTGGGGCATATTTACTAGAAGGAAGAGTAGTTGGGGAGAGTAAAATGGATGTAGACTCTCCTCCATACCATTAACTTTATCTGCCACGGCAAAGGGTTTACTCACCTGGGAGGGAACAGAGCCCATCTACTGTTGCCTGCAGCTACATCAGCTGGGCAACCTCCCCTGCAAGCAATCTTCTGAGGACAAGCTCGTGTTTGTGTGTTGTTATTGTGTCTGTGGGCATTGCTTGCTCCCATTTCCCCTTCCTGCAAGACAGTGGAAAAATGTCTCAGGAACACATTTGTTGGAGGGAAAACAGAAGAATGTTCAATGGAGGTGGCCTATGGGCATGTGAATTCACTTTCCCTGAAGTAGCTGATAAAAAAGATTTCCCAGACAGCTCAGTGAAGATCCCACCCTTCAGTGTCCTCCATGTAGTGAGGAATCCACCCTTTGGTGTCCTCCACACAGTCATGACCATGGGTGAGGCTCCTCAACTTTCTGAACTCTGATTCCATCAGTTTTGGGTCCAAGAGCTTCTACCCAAGAAGCTCCTCTGTCACTGAAGAAAAGAATTCATTTCTGAGAATCTGTTCTGTATAACAGAGCCTAAATTTGACTTCCTAAAAAAAACCCAGGCATTTTCAGACACCAGATTCTGGTTTGGGTCCTTATAGAGTTGGTCAACAGAGACATCTTGAAAGCTGATCCAGCCATGTGCCTTAAGCCCGTCTCAGCAGTACAGCAGTTTGTTACGCTGTGCCCAGTCTCTTCTCCCGCAGCAGGGGATGAAAGGACACTCAACTCCCCTTTTTAGATCCACAAAAACGATCAGAGTAATGAAACACCTCTCCTATGAGGACAGGCTGAGAGAGTTGGGGTTGTTCAGCCTGGAGAAGAGAAGGCTCCGGGGAGACCTTATTGCGGCCTTTGAATACTTAAAGGGGGCTTATAAGAAAGATGGGGACAGACTTTTTAGCAGGGCCTGTTGCGATAGGACAAGGGGGAGTGGTTTTAAACTAAAAGAGGGTAGATTTAGACTAGATCTAAGGAAGAAATTTTTTACAATGAGGGTGGTTGCCCAGAGAGGTGGTAGATGCCCCATCCCTGGAAACATTCAAGGTCAGGTTGGACGGGGCTCTGAGCAACCTGATCTAGTTGAAGATGTCCCTGCCCTGTCCCTGGCAGGGGGGTTGGACTAGGTGGCCTTTAAAGGTCCCTTCCAACCCAAACTATTCTATGATTCTATGATTTTTGAATAGGACTGGAAAAGTATACCCTTCTCCTTACAAAAACTGAGAAGACATCTCCCCAGGGTGGTGTGTGGTATCAGACTACCATGCTTCCTTCAGAGCCATCTGGCCTCCTGCTTTGCTGCTCTGTGCCACAGAAGACTTTTAAATGGAGCCCTGTCCACCCCTATTTTACATGGCGCAGTTAAGGGATTGCTGCTAAGGAATGCGGTTAAGGATGCGCAGTTAGGGAATTATTATGGGCCAGTAGCACCCTTCTATGCCGTAACTATTATTCCTTCTCCTACATGCTAATTTCAGCTGCATCAATACCTTCTTCCACCTACAATCTCAAGACATCCACTGCAATATTTAACACTGTTGCATATTCAGCGAACAAGCTTGAAAATTTTCCACGTACTAAAGCTTCGCTTTTTTTTTTTTTTCTTCCTTTCCCCCTCCCTCTGGGAGGGTGATAAATGACTGAAAATCAAGAGATGATAGAAGCTCTTCATTCATCAGCTACGGTTGCAACTCCTCCTGAAGTCGAGTGTGGGAACCACGTCTGGGACAAAGCGTGGCCCTGAGCCCGGATGTGCCTTCTCCACCTTAACAGCAGCATCTGCTTCCCAATAAGGCATGCTCTGCACTATCTCAGGCACAACTTGAAACTTTGCAGCTGTTGCCACTCCAAGTCTAGCTCTAAATCCAGCAAGGAGGGAGAGGCTGGGATAGTGGGGGAGTGCAGGGCACTCATTATCCTGTGCACAAGAATGGGAACAAAGCTCACATGCATCATGCAGAAGCACAAAACCAAGCCAGTCCTCACATAGGAAGGGCTGGGCAGTCGCAGAGCAGGTGAACAGAGCGTAGGTACTGATATCTCATCCTGGAGAAAGGTCTCCTCTTTCTTTCAGTCTTGCATTTGTAACTCCAGAGAGCTATTCCCTAAGTACAAAAGTTTTGTTGACAGGCTGGGGGAAACTTAAGCATTTGGCACCATAGGCAATAAGAACGATTGGGTCCAAGTTCATCCACCCCGCCCAACGTTGGACTATAGGTTGGTTTCTTCTCTTTTGTTCTTCTCCCTGTTCAACTCCCAAGATGGAAGGAAGTGAAGGCAAGATTATTATTACTCCGACAGGACTCATGGAGGCCTTCTAATCACACTTGCTTTCCAAGTCATAAGGAAGTGAAAAGCAGATGAGAGCCCAGGCACATGCCTGAGCTGGAGCTCGGTTGTGAAAGGCTGGATGCCTGGATCAGGGGGCACATAAAGTCAAAGAGGATGTTCCTGAAACTGGGGGAAGAATCTGCCCCTCAATGTGAGGAAACTCAAAATAGAAAATCAATAAAATAACCAGACAAAAAAGATCAGCTCAGTCTTCCTGGGAAAGATCCAAGGGTGAAAAACTAATTCCAGAAAATGAGGTCAACCTTCTCTAATAACCATAGCTACTGTTTGTGCTCCAGTGAGACATGCATGTGTGGAGTTTACCTCTCCTCTATTTATGGATTTGGCCTCTTGACCTGGAATTCAATGCCTCTCAGTTGATCCTGTCGTGTTGTGACGGGCCATATCCTGCATGTTTATTGCATTGGCACCAGTGTTGTCTTTATCTAAAGGGTGAGGGAAAAGAGCAGTCCAGGGATGACACTAAAATCCAGCATCCATCCTCCCTGTCTTTCTAAACAATTAAATTTGATGCAACTTCTCACTTTATTTCTTTCTGCCTTTTCTCCCAGGAGGGACCTCTAAAGCTACTGTAAAGCCTCGTGGAGAGAACATCTGTGCAAGCCCCACAAAAGATGGCTTTTTTGGTACCCAATTTAGAGCAGGAAGTATCCCATCATGAGGTGGGACTTTGAGGGATTTGGGAGATTTGAGACCTTACAGCACTGGTCAGCAAAGGCATCTTGAAAGCTGATCTGGCCATGTGCTTTGAACCCATCTCAACAATTGGATAGTTCATTATGCTTTGCCCAATCTCAGTCTCTTCTCATGCAGCCAAAAGTGCAAGGATATTTAAATCCCCGCTCTGCGAGGGACCTGATACCCACAATGACTCTACTACCAGTAGGGAAGGGCTGTGTGAGGATGGAGGAACATGTTGGGGGGCTCCTCGGTGGAACCTCAGACTCTCTGTTTCCACCGTCGACTCATCTACGCTCAGTCACTTCAGCCCAGTCCTTAGATAGATCTTATTAACTCCTCTCCCAAATGACTGCAGCCAGAGCATCACCAAAGTGTGCAGGGTCACCCTTTGTCTCCCTGTGCCAGGTTACTTCTCAGGGTCTGAACAGCTGGGTTGGTTCAAAGCATGTCGCAGGCTTTGTGGCATTTGGTCCAACACCTTCCTGCAACTGTCTAATCCCAGTTCATATCAGGAAGATGAAAAGAGAGGTATTTTCCTCGTGTCACACAGTGGTGGCATTGCCGTGGCCTTGAGCTGGCGAGTTCTCAGCAAGGAGATTTTGTTCCCACAGAGACACAGGAAAATTGACCCAGGGAGGGGACAAGAGCAGGGCAGCAACATCAGTTTTAGTTTACTAGAGATATTCAGGCATTAGCACCGTGAGGAAGGCTGGAGCCCTCTTTAGCATTTCCAGCACTTCATAAATTTCAGAGAGATTTAGGGCAAGGAGCCAAATGTTTGGGGAGAAATTCTGAACACTAAAGACAAGTGGAAATTTTTTTTTTTTGGTAGTGTGTATTTTTTCCCATTAGTTGCAAGGCTATATTTAGAAGAGAGGGGGGGAGAGAGAGCGCGAGAGAGAGATTAAGCATTTCTTCATATTCTGTAGTCACTCCAGTTGTTCTGCTTGTAGGAACAGATGTCTCTTTCCTGGGGTGATAGCATTCAGGTCCACGAGGAAATTTTCTTACCGGCAGCTCCTCTAACATAGAAGGGAGATCGGGCCAGAGGTAAGTCAGTCCATCGTGGAGGAATACACTGCAGGGACCGTTGCAGTGAATGCTTTGGGATATTGGTCAGAGAGAAAGGGAGGGCATGGGATCGGAGAGGTGACAGCGGGGGGCCTGGAGGGAATTGCTGGAGACCGGACCCCAAGTCCGGAGTGGAAAGCGTGGTTATTGCAGCAGGGAGCCCTGCCAGGGATGGCCGTGGAGAGGGTCCTGCACCGAACACTTGGAAGAGCAGCTCGGGAAGCCCCTGGCTCTGCCCGTGCGGCAGGTGTGGAAGTTCATCAGGAGATGCCTGACCAGGAGAGCCAGGCTGCACCGGTGACTGCAAGGGGCTGTGAGGGGCTTCCTCCACTGTGAGCTTCTCTGCTTTTGGGTTTTGGGGCAGTGCTGTGATATTTGGTTGTTTCCTGAGGACACGGGGGTGATGAAAATGTGTGAAGGTACTGGCTTTCCCCCATTGAAAATTACTGTGCCAGCTCTTGTGAGGAGAGGGGTGATGCCTTGTTTGTATTTGTGTATTCTCAGGTATAATTAAATTTTGGGGAAATGGATTCAGGGAGGTTTTGGAAGCCAGGAAAGGAGATGTTGCACTGCCTGGCACGGGGTCAGCTGCAACTCGGGATGTTTTACCTCTCTTTGGCCATGCAGCAGGGTGTGAGCTCATCTCTAGGAAAGATGCTCTTTTCTTTCTCTGAATCTGCTTGCTGGGTCAGTCTAAGGAGAAACAGATCCCTTCCAAGGTCCTTAACCAGGTCCCTTCAGAAATGTTCCCTGCTTTCACAGCAACACACTCACCAACAGCTCAAAGTTTTTCCAGGTTAACCTGGTTAATCCAAAATTTGCAAAACCCTGAAGGCACTGTGGGGTCTGTCTGCACAGCACAGTGTCATATGTGCCTAGCAAAGGAAACCACAGATACCAGTCTCCCAAAGGGTTAAGATCTGATTATCCATCCTGGGACGCCTCAAAAAATGTCTGCTCCCTGACCAGGTCTCCAATCTCTCTGCAAGCCACGGGCCAAGCCCAGGCATAGCTCTGTGCCTCAGTTTCTCGCCACAGCCAAGAGAGCAGCACAACTCTGCTGGGCTGCAGAGCTTATCCATGGCGGGCTGGTCTGCTGCTCATGGCCCACCTGACCCCTCTCCCCACTGCGTCACCCCTTTGTCCCTACCTGCATTTGTGTCACCTCCGTTCCCTGTGCTCCCTTGGGTGTGAGTATTGCCTCTTCTGTCCTGCATCCCTGGGCCATGCAGGACCCCAGGTATTCCTCAATAACAAACCTCTGTCGCTGCTCCTCCCCCACTGTCCTTCTCAGGCTTCTTGCCAAGGGACAGAGCAAGCAGGCAGCTGAAGGCAGAAAGAGGGAAAAGTGCTTAAAGATTGCTAAATTTGCAACTAAAATTTTCCTTTTCAAAAGCAAGCAGCAATGCACAGGCCAGAAGTTGCTCAGTTTAATCTCCCGCGATATTTTTGCACTTGCCTGTGAAGTTCCTGTATGTGCCTATATGGTAATTTTCACTGCAGGGTTCTCCTTGTACACAGCCACAACAGCTTTTATTCCAAACTGACATTTCTAGCACTTTGTCCCAGGCACCCTTGAAATGCTAGACGGATTACTGTAATCCCAATAAAATCAAACACATTTCTCTTGTACTGTTACAACCTCCCAAGAAAACAGGCACAAATCCATTTCTCCTGGCTGGACCTATAAAACTCCAAATCCACATATTTCTTTCCAGATTTAGCTTTTAAAAAAAAATTTAAACCCTCCTGGAAAACATTTTCCACCAAAATATGTGCTTTCCCCTCACATCATACTGGTCCACAAAGGACAGAGAGGAATACACGCAGGAAGTCATGCTCTGATTTCTCTCACAGCGTCAGAGCTAGAAATACACAGCATCTACTGCAGAGATGTCACTCCATGCTCCCTTGTGACTGATGGCACTTGATGCTAGCCCTGACAGGCTATGAGACATTGGGCTTTCAAATGCTAACAGCATGATTTATAGAGCATTCACCAAGACACTTAATATTTCTGTCACTCCAAGGCCAAGATCTGGTAATGCAGAAACGAGGGACATGAAAAATGCAACGGTATCAATAAGGCATTGTAGACATCTAAACGTTTCAGGAGGCATTTTTCTATACAGTGTGCTATAAACAGGCAAGTGGAGATGTAAAGCCTTTATTAGCACTTCTAAGCTGACCGGTACTAGCAAGCTTCATCAGAGACGTGCTGAAGGACCTCTGGGTGCCCACCACTGCTGGGTGCACTTTTGCGGGTCTGGAGAGGCAATGTATGTACAATCCACTTCTTTGTTTGCTTGTACATGTACATCTGGGCTCCTTCTTTCAAAGGCTGAGGCATTACTGCTGCAAATGGGCATAGAGGAGGTATAAGCTCATAAGAAATCTGCCAGCACATGAATTTCCTGCTCTGTGTATCTTTGGGAGCTTCATTCCATATTTTCCAGGCATGCTCAGGACAGGGTTGGGGGAGGACCATGCAGATCTTTCCAAGTTTTAAATAGATTGTCTCTGGGATGTCCAGGACTGGTGAGCTGTCACCTGGTTTTAAGCAGCAGGTTCAAGCCTAGATGCAGAGAGTGGGCATCTGGGCCAAGCCAAGTGACCTCCCTCCCCGCTGGGTCACTTTGCTCCGTGAAGAAGATGAATGTAGTTTGGAGAGTTGTGCTCTCCCCCTTCTAACTGGCAGTGATCCCTCATGGCCTAGGATGACCTGTATCAGAAATAGTGTGGCCAGCAGGAGGAGGGAGGTGATCGTGCTCTTGTACTCAGCACTGGTGAGGCCGCACCTCGAATCCTGTGTTCAGTTTTGGGTCCCTCACTACAGGAAGGACATTGAGGTGCTGGAGCATGTCCAGAGAAGGGCAATGAAGCTGGTGAAGGGCCTGGAGCAGAAGTCTGATGAGGAGCGGCTGAGGGAACTGGGGCTGTCTAGTCTGGAGAAGAGGAGGCTGAGGGGAGACCTCATCGCGCTCTACAACTACCTGAAAGGAGGTTGTAGCGAGGTGGGGGTTGGTCTCTTCTGCCAAGTAACTAGCGATAGGATGAGAGGAAATGGCCTCAAGTTGCGCCAAGGGAGGTTTAGATTGGACATTAGGAAAAACTTTCCTGAAAGAGTGGTCAGGCCTTGGAACAGGCTGCCCAGGGAAGTGGTGGAGTCACCATCCCTGGAAGTATTTAAAAGATGTGTAGATGTGGCGCTTAGGGACATGGTTTAGTGGGCATGGTGGTGTTGGGTTGGACTCGATGATCCTAGAGGTCTTTTCCAACCTTAATGATTCCATGATTCTATGACCTGTTGGACTAAATCATTGCTTGGGCACCCACAGGCTATTGCTTGTTCCAAACAGAACCAGGCAGCTGGGTCCCTCACTCGCATAGGATCTGATTTTGGCCTTAGGCTTGCTGGGGAGCATGGGGTCCACCCATGTGCACACACAGCATCGAACACAGCACGGTGGGTGGAGCTCAGATCACAACTCACAGCAATACCCATCGCCCATCCACAGCAGGGTCTTGGAGATGAACAACCACGTAGGCTAACTGGGCACATCAGGCAGGACGCAAATGGCTCAACAGCCCGACAGCAACACAAGCCCAACGACCAACATTGCATTAGCCTCCACACATCCTTAGGCCGTGATTGCTTAAATGGCTTGAAGGAGACAGCCCCTGGCCATTGCCTCGGACTGGACATCCAAAAAGTCATTAGGGGGGTGTTAATCCCTCTTGCTGTTGTGCAAAGTGAGTTCACACCTTTCCCCTCCTAGGCAAAGGCTGTAATTCAGCACATGACTATCCAAACAGTTGGACAAGGTAAGTGTTGCTGGCCATCACGCTTTTCATTGCACGTGGACCTTGTCTGACCAGTGCATACGCCAGGCAATCAACTATCATCTATCCTCAGGCTGGTTCTTCATGAGGACGGTATGATTTGGTATAAATATGAAATTATTTAACTTCAGGCAAAGAATGAGAGGCAGGCAATGCTCCCTCTTTGCAAAGAAGCCATCCAGCCCTGTTTGCAGTGTTTCAATGCCAAAGCAATTGTGAATTTGCAGTGAATAAGACCTAAATTAAAGGATGTGTGGTGGAGAGTGCTGGCAAAGTCCTTGCAGGTTCATATTAGAGAAAACAAGGATTGTGCTCAGTGCCTATTTATGTGTTTGTCAGCTCTGATTTCCTCCATCCTCCTAATGTTTTTCAATCTGTTGGCTAAATTCAACCAAAATTTGGCACAAGGGAAAGATCACCTCAATTTTCAGGAAATTAGGCACCAAAGAGAGGAGAAAGTCAAACAAGTGTCGGAGCCAAGGAAAGAGCTGGAACGTGAGTGCTCATTAAGGCAGCCAAGTGTCCACATGGGAAAAAGTTATAATAAGCATCTCAACCAGGGCAAAGCATTTATCCAGCCCTGCAAGCCACTGCAAGACATGAAACCGTAAGAAAGCAGGTGTCATTTAATCTGGCACTCACAGAACTATGTGTTTTTTGTCTCCGAAGTGCCTTTGATTTCCACAGCATTGGAGGGGAAGGAATAATCCAACCCTGGACTGGGTTTAACCATTTCCAACTGCAGTTCCCCAGTGTTTCACACACTCTGACCAGCTGCCCTCCAACCTGGAGGCTTCTAGGAAGACATCAATGCTTAGGAATCAAGTGAGAGAGGAGATCAGATGCCCGCAAATATGGGATCTTCCCCACCCTGGAAATAGCCCCATTTCTGCTTCAGGGTGGAATCTTTTGCCTCCGAACATTAGCTCCCTTCTCACAGCCTGAGGGCTAGATGGGCACCAGCCTTTCCCTTTCAGCAGCTGGATTCATTCCCTTTCTCTCCCTTTCTCCCTCAGTTCCCACTGTCAGCAAACCCAACCTCCCTAGGCTGAGCATGAGGCATACAGAACAAGCTCTACCACGTATAGGGCAAGGTCCTCGACATGCACAAAAACACCATATTTGGACAGTTTGTG